GAGAACTCGAGCCAATCAGAGTGCACCATTTCCTGATTTGGTACAGGAACGAAGCATGTGCTAGACTTTCGGCAATCCCCTACGCTCTGCTCACTTCAGACGCGGCATTATGGCCGGCGGTTACTCGCTCGTTTGGCAGTCACAGTCCTCCAGCCTATTCTCCACCTCTTTCTGTACAGAATAAACTGCTCCTACCACTCTGGCCTCCCGTGCCCTCCTAAGGAACCGGACCTGAAGGCCGCAATTGCTATGGTTTAACTTACTTAACCCACTGCGCTAAGACTCCCTCGCCGCGATCTGCTGATTGTTGGTAGGGACTGGGATGGCCGTATAGTGATATTCAGCGAAGGCTAGCCTCCAAATAGGCAGGCTTTTACGCCTTGTAACTAAGCAGCTGTGATAGAACTGTCACGTGCTGAGGGCTAAGGTCGAGAACACTCAAAATCCAAGGGTGTCACTGCAAAGCTGATAAGTTATCTAGCAATCGTTGGCTTGCAGTAAATTAGAGCAGCACAAGAAATAACTCTTGAGGAACAGTCCCCGGCGACTGTTGCATAACGTGCCTATAGCGACAATACTCAGGGCAGACCGGCCAGACCAGGGTAGGGCAGGATAAAAATCGTATCATCAGGTAGTACAGAATAGAGAGTATAATGGCCTACCTCAATGCCACAGAATGAAACCTTAGAGGAGAAGTCCACATTGATAGGGAAGAAAAGATCCGCTTTGGCGCCACGTTCTGCCTTCACTGTGAACTCTAGGGTGCCCGTAGAATTGTCCCCGTCAACAAGGGGACGGCTCCAGAGCAACTGAGAGTGGCGAAGATCTACCTCGTAGTCCCCGTCGCAGGAGCCGACCATGGGCGGTTTTGATCCAGGTCTGGACGAGCGAGCAGCAAGAAACGGGTGATGGGGGCGAGGGCAGCGAAATGTGATTAATAAAGTTGGTTGGGTTCTGAGTTCAACTGAAGTCAATTCACTGAGATCACGACTGGATTGATGCGTTGCAAACTGACAAGGTCATACTAGGAACTGGCGCGCAGGTCGCAATGACCCCCCAATGTGGCCTTTACGGTAGTTCTTACTAAGGGAAAACTCGAGACCCTTCTTTAAAGTGTCGCACTTGAGCGCATGCGGACCGGCACATGCATGGCAGGCAGAGATGTGGATTTAACCTCGTCAGTCACTGTGGTGGTTGTTTTTGTCGTTTTAAACGTTGCCCAAACCGAGATATCACCTTCTAATTACGCCTTGTATGAGTCCCCGAGGAAGAACACAACAAAAGGAGTG